TGCAGGCCAATGTCAAACTTGTCTATAGACTTTGTCCAAATCAACTAAGATTTCTTCTCATTCAACTTCCTTAAACACCGGAAGCCTTTGACATCTATGAAATGGAACCTGAATTATATGTACAAAAGATGTACTTCTTATTCTTATCCTTATCATGGCCTAATAGTATTATTATTACTATTATTTATCTCTTTAATTATTCCATTTATTCTCATGATTTTATTCAAAATGTTTTAGGATATCACTTCACTTCATTTAACCACTTACATACCATTAATTAATGTCAAAAAATTAATTATTATACTCCAATCACATTATAAGTCATTGTTAACTCCTTACTTTTATATAACCTTTATTTGCATATAATCAGTCTATTATTGTTATGATTTACACTTCATAATCTAGTATTGAAACAATTCTAATACATTATGAGGTTTATTTATTGTTCCTGTATATATACGATCGTACAGCTTGTTAATAAAATTCTAGAAAAGAGAGGCCTTCGCTGAAATTCTTGTTTTTATTTTATCATGGCTTCGGATTTCTATCAGTTGAAAAAGTTTCAACTGCTCTTTAAAAAATAAAGAATAAACATTATAGAAGTTAATTTTCATTTAAACGTCTAACAATCTGATCTCTACTTATTGACCTAATAGAATTAAAATTACAACAGGACCTAAAGATTGAAAGTCGAATCCCATATGAGTCAACTAGCCGAATAGTTATGTTTATTTAAAACTAGATTAAAATAGTTGTATAGTTCCTCTTAGTTCAAATGATTCAATAAATATCACTTAGAATTGGATAAATACTTAAATCTCCTCTTGACATCTAACTTGATTTATTCGTTTTAATTCATTTACATTTCTAAATTTAATTGTTCATACTGAGAGAAAGATTATATAATCATGTCAATCTCCGAAAAACATGAAGGAAAAAAACTCGATGTGAAAAAACAAAATTAATTAAATTTTGAAGTATATGGCTGGTTTTTATTTTTGGTTGATTTCAGACAATATGAACAGCAACCGAATGTAATGCATTATCGACTGGTCGGTATTAAAAAAATCAGACTACTGTTCTTATGAAAGAATTTCACAGAAAAAACTGTTTCGTAGTAGTACCACTGGTTTAATACGCTTTCAGCTATTTCATAAACATATATATGTATATATAATAAACAAATAGTTCTACTGTCGCTAAATTTTCCTAATACTTTGTCCCTGTGAAAACCATACTAAAAAATTGTATGTGAAATAATCAGTAAAGTTATTATTTTTAGGTAGGCAATTAGTAACTGTGGACCTAGGTTTTGAGCTATTTGGCACTCTTCAGCAAGGTGTGTCTGTTATTTTGAGGGCACTGATGTTCCCTAGACGATTTGATCTCATTTAGCCCAACTTCACGGTTAGACGTTAACAACAAGCTTTTGAGGCCGAAACTGCTTTCTTGTTGGACTGAGATGTATTTACAATTGATTGATCACTAGGTGGTAACCAATTTTATTTGTGTCGAATCACTGCTAACGAGCACCAAATAGCACGAAACCTGGGTCTAGGGTTTCGTGTCCACTACCTTCAACCACCAGCTTACACTTCAACATAGTGCACGAGATATCGAGTCGCCTAGGCTGATAGCAAATTGTAACCTGGTTGTAAGTATGTGACATACATGATATTTGTCACTACCCGATGATCAACCAATTGTAAACAATAAGTTTAAAAATCGATATTGACTACAGTTTATCAGAACTCATTGTTATGATTTGTGTAGTCACAAAATTACATGGTAGAATAAACGAGATCTCTGAAAGAGACTACGTCCATTTATCTTAGATAATCGTACTTGTAACCAAACTAACTAATCCATAACCTGTAAACATTTTATGTTAACGGAAAAACCATATCGTACTATAATTTTTGACATGAATTTAAATGATATTGAATGTAACCAATGGTGCCTTGTTTTTCTCAACGTTGATTGACCATAAATTCTAGTTTTACTCAGTTGAATACCGTGTAAGTTAAATCACAAAGTTTATGTCTTTTATGATAGATGCGTTTATTTTTTTAGATAATTTCATGTATAAATTTGAACTAAGCATCTTCTTTATTTGTTCCGCTGCACTATTTACACTTATTTTAATTACAATCTCTTTAGTTACTTTCTTTGAAAAAGAAAATTACACTATGTCACAGCATATCAGAAATTCAATTTTCTAGCCACTGAAATAATACAAATATATCATTGTTATGTTATTAATAAGTACACACCGGATACTCAATCTGTTTAGAATAATGAAGCCAAATGTTGATAATGATAATTAATTAATTGTCATATTTCGTAAAGATTATTCTGATTTGTAAATAGCTATTTATATTTTCAATGTTCTTCACACATATATCAATCATTCTTTATCTATGAGCTGTTGATTTTTGTTTCCAATTTTGTTAAATATAACAATCATTCACAAAAAGTAAACTATAACTCACTATTGAATTGTTGATCACTTTATTTTATCAAAGAAGATTTCTCTTTGAAATGATTGAATACTGTTTTAGGTAAATTAATCAGAGTATATATCAACAATAATATACACTTTTGTTATATCCCGTGGAGATTTATGGATGGTAACCTTTGAGAACTATTTATAAACCAATATGATATGTATATTTCCTATTCTATAATTGTTAAGCAACTAAACTGTTCATATTTGTTTTCCTCTTATCATAAGCTTTATTTTGACCCACAGACGATTATTATACTATTAACCATTCCTGAGTTATCCCTAGTCCATTATTCACTGTTCCCCACATTCACGGCTACACTTGGCTAAATATTGTACAAATGTTATTTTCTATTTTATGGTACGATGTGATCAGTTTGTTTGGTATATAAACCCAGTATGTTTGAGAATAATGATTCATATTGCAGAGGGTGTTATTGGTGTTCTGGAGTTAACTAGCTGGGCTAGGCAGATAGCAGGACTGATAAGTATTCAAGACTGTTCATAAATTCACTTATATATATATATATATATATATATATATATATATATATAAACAGGGCACTCACACGCACTCAAACGATATAACAACTTTGAAATAGGAAAATAAAAGTTTTTTTCACAAATTATTGTGAAGAATCTTTTCTATTTACTACTGTTAAAATTATATAAAGTTTACTTGAAAAACTAGATAAATTCAAAATTCAATTAACTCATGATTTCAACTATGAAAATACTGAAATCTCCACAAAACCCCTTCTGATCTATAATCATGTGCTCACTAAAGACTGACTTCAACGAATGTTTCCTTGAGTTCTAGTGGGAAGCAGTGACCAGTGGAGTTCAACCAAGTCTGTTGTAGAGATTTCAAATCACTGAAGACCATTGGTGAACACATGCTCAAACTTCGTGGATTGGTTGAAGTTAGACATTAACACCGTTGGATGCCGGCCAGCTCAGTGGTCTATCAGTTAAGTGCTCCACAAAACCCCTTCTGAATACATATATAAATAATGAAACATTGAAAAAATGTGTATTTTTTAATCTTCATTATTCACTATATATATTTCTTTGTTTTAATAGTTTAAAATAATTTATGTTGGAAATTTAATTTTTTTTAACTAGTTTTAAATTTTATTTATACTCTTATTCCAATGGAATATTCGAGTAAACACAAAAGTTTTCAAAAATAGAATAAAAATATTAATAAAATTTTAAATAATTTTCCAAAAAAGGGTTTTCTTAATTGATTTCACATGTTTACTTATATTTTATTATAATTTGACAAATATTCCTTAAAGTATAATAATTTACTTAATTACTTTCATTTAAATAAAGGTAAGTAGTATTAAATAAAAATTGTAATTTAGATTTCATAAAGTAAAACAAATAGTTTATACAAAGTTAAATAAGTAAATAGATTTAAGGCAATTAGTCCCTTTGATAAATTTCGATGGTGTAGTAATAAGAAGACGAAGATTATCAGAACACTATGTGATGTATTAGAGCAATACATTTCTAACAATCTGATCACACATAGTATACTTGTTAAGAACATTTATATATAAAAATAAAAGGTCAACTAGATTGGAAAGGGGGGGTAAGAGTAGGCAAGGATAATAATAATAATGTGAAAACAATGTTCTTAACAAGCATATGTGTGATCAGATTGTTCGAAATGTATTGCGCTAATATATCACATAGTTCTGATAATCTTCGTCTTCTTATTACATTATCGAAATAAATAGATGAAATTTACTACAGAAAATGACAAAAGTATGAGTATCTATGAAAAAATTAAAAAACCTTTCATCACACAGAGAGGTTTTACCATGTTTTATATCACCATTATTAAGCTTACAGTTATATTTCTATCTGAAAAATGTTTTCTGATGATGTAGTCTATAATGATAGTTGTGAACATAAGCCATACAGATCAGATAGTATAACTGTCAAAAGTTTACACGTTTTATCCATTTCACTTTCCTCAAAGCTTAATTCTTAAATAAGACGTTAAGTACAAGTAAAATTGATGCAACAACACATGACTCTGAAACAAGTTAACATGTATGTATGTTATATTCATCACTTATTGGCTGTGAATACAATCTTCACTAAACGTTTGCTCAACTATTAATAATATTCTGACCTTTGTGTGTTTAACAGAGTTTTAAACCAAGATAGATGATAACGGATTCCCATGAGTACGCCAGTCAAAATACATTTTCTTGTCCGAGTTTGAGATAATTGATTTCGTAGATGCAAGTTATATTACTGATTTGTAATAACATCAGAAAATGGTTAAAAGTAATCTCAGTTGGTGATTTTTAATGCTTTAAGTCTTGAATGTAATTGTATCGTCAGTTACAATACTGTGTAACTTCAAGGACGTCGAAACAAAAAGTTGAATGACTTCAACATCTTTATATACTGTAGGCAATTAAAAAACTTCATGACAAATATTATAATAATTCCGTTGCTTTTGTCTTTGTAGGCATTTACATATCAGGTGTTCCACATGTTGATTCTTGTTCTTGGAAAGCACCATGGAGTCAAGTAACGAGAGAACAAAAGCGATATTTACGCAATCGGTACAGCATTCAATGCGGCATATGTCAAGTAAGAAGACACATTATTAATTAAATAAATACAGTTTATGCGTGTTTTTCTACTTTGAGTATTTATTATGAACAGATAACAATAGAGCTTTCTATATACAACTGATAAAAAATCCAAAGAAATAAAACATATTTCGCTGACCACAGAAATTCGGTGGAAATACATTATCAGAAAAGAGTTTTGTGAAGACTTTCTTAATTTTATAGTTGAATGCATTAGTCAATTAAAACTAGACAACCATGAAAAACCAAGTTTTCCTCGGTGGACAGAACAGACTTTGTGCTTATACAGTTTTCTTTTCGTGGACCCATAGTGAATCACCGATCGATACACATGAGTTAAGTATCCTCGTAACCCTACTATCTCACTGAGAAATATGCCATTTTTGCTTACGATTTCGAGCCTGACAATTACGAACAAAATTTTAATTCATAATGTATTATTTAGGTTATGACTTAATTTGAACAATACAATTCATTTTGAAGTTACTAGGCAATAGTCCAGTTCCTACGAATAATATGACAGGCTTATTCATTCAACAAACAAGCATGGTACAAACGTAGTTGACTATAAATAAAAAGATACTTGGCATTCGAACGAAAATAGTTTCCCAGTTAGATACTGAAATTTTTTCAAAACTATTCAAAACAAATTGTCTCACATTGAATGTAAACATTAAGGACAATTTATCTGTTTATAAGAAAATATTTCTGTAAAAACACAGTTCTGTAAGAATAGCACAGGTTAAGGACAGAAAATAAACATTGTTTAACATCACACACAAATGTTTAAAACTTGTTTTACTCTGTTATGAAATAACGGATTATTGTTAGTAGGAAAAAATGACTACAAAAATATGTGAAGACAATACAGGAAAAACATTTTTGTATATAAACAACAACCATGAGAGAAACTGAAAAATTGATCAGTTGTTTTAAACCATTCTATTACATTCACAATACTCTTTCTCTCACTCTCTTTCTTGATGATTCGCTACTTAAAAGTATTTTAAGCAAAAAACAGCACAGATATACAATATAGGGGGTATATAAATTCACAAGCAAAAACTGTTGATTCATTTTCGCATTGTTTATTTAAATCTTTCCATTGATATTTACACTACAATTGATCAGTCTCTTATTGGCATATATGCATACTGTGCGGATTGCCCCGATATTACCTTAAATCCTAAGCATTATAAGCAGATATGGATGGTAGCTAGCAGAGGAATCCAGGACGCATTTTTCGTCTTATTTGGGATTCGTCAGCTGGATGTGCTGCACCTCAAATTTGATGTTCACTCAAAGACTCGAAATCAGTCCGAAGTGAACGATGCTGAGTTCAAGTCCTGGAGTGAAAATCAACTCTTAGGTACATCCATCCGATAAGTCACAAATAGGACGAAACGCGCGTCCCGGATTCCACTGGTAGCCACTATCCCTCTTTGCAAAAACTGTTAATTTGTTTTTTAGTTGGTGAAATGAAATATTACTGTAGTGAACGAGAACACAAGTGAGGACAATCGAATGTATTTTAATACAACATTACAGAATATCTTGGTAAAATCTGAGAACCATACAATAAATATTTCATTTGCAAAATGTCAATCAATCGTCTAAGACTTGATTGTCCCGTCGTTTCTACAGCAATCATTCTCTGTTCTCGTTTTTTTCTTCGATTTTCTTAGTCTCCTGCCACCAGACATTACACTTTCGATATATACTTATATCTCTCGGTATCGGCAGCACACACTACATTATTTTTGTGTTTTCACTTCAAATGTTACATAAAAAGTCATTGTGTAATGAAAATGCTATTTAAATCTTCCAGCAAATGGAGCATATAAAAAAGAATGAACGAAATGAAAAGGAAACAAATACCTTAGTTGATGAATTCAAAAATTATGATATTTTTGTTTATATTATGGTGTTATGGTTATTTCATTTGGTGGTATGACATACTTAGTCAATTTATTTAAGCCTCATCTATGAAGTATGCCAACTGTTTTTTCAGTACATTATGTTGACGCCTTATTCATTTATTTAAACACATAAATATTGGTACAAAGGGACACAAGATATATATGCGCCGCACAAATCTTATTTGATTTGTGTGAGGGCTGTGATACTGCCCAGGTGCCCAAACTGAAGCAGGTGGTTTTCTAAGGGGGCCACACCCGGAGCCTTTGACCTAAAGGTCTGATCCACAAGGCAGTGTGTCATCGTGAGGATTTGTAGTCCCATGGTAGCTGGTGACCGACAATTGGTTCATACGCCATTTGTTCACTCAGGATACTGGAGCCCATGTGCACCATTGGTTTGGAATCAGGGTTTTCCAACTTCCCTAGGTGGACTTTCCATGTCCACGAGCTTGAAGATAAAATGTTACAGTCATCATTCGACAAGCCATTGTAATTCAAGACCACTTATCAGATAAATCATAACGACTTCATTTTTGAATATTTTACTTCACATAAAAAGGATTGAAGTATAAAATAACATTCGTCAGTGAATTCATATCAAAATTGATTGAATGCATTAGCTGAACACTGAGGACTGAACAGTGTGAAATTGAAAAACAAAGAGTACTTGAACGAACAATTGTTTTCAATAAATTCATCATTAGGCCTTACAGTTATAAGTTTATAATTATTGTAATATTTTACAAAGGTCAAGATAAGACATATATGAATGAATTTGACAATGTTATGTGTTAAAATTGGTGAACTTTTGCATTTGTCACAACATAGATATCTCAAGATTGTGTCATTTATATACTGGAAAATTCATTTAATAAAGGTCGGGATGATTCGTTGTAAGATATCAAGTTATAATCAATATAATGGTAATACAATAAATCGTATGGACAAAATGTACAGTAGGAGAATTTCGTCTTGTTATGTAGATACTTATAATAATGACACCTCTCTTACCACACATTATATCCACACAATAGTATTTACATTATTACTGTTATTATCCCTAAATTCCGAATGATACCATTTTGAAGTATTAATTCCATAACAGATGCAACGGTTCACCAACTTTAACACATAACAGTGTCAAATTTATTCATACATATCTTATCTTGACCTTGGTAAAATATTACAATAATTATGAACTGTAGGGCCTGATAATGAATTTATTGAAAACAATTGTTCATTCAAATATTCTTTGTTTTTAAATATTCTATAGGGATTTTCAATATAAAATTGCTTACTATCAATTAGTTGAAACATTTCAATCATATAGATCAATCAAAACGCGAACAGCTCAACCATAACGATACAGACAGTCTTACTAGTAATGATGGTCAATTTCCTTGAATGTAAATCAGTTCTCTGGAGTTAGGAATTTCATTTTTTAACTACTTCGAACCACTTAATATATTATACGTAATCCTAGTCTTGTATTTTCATACAAAAATGGTAATAAGTGATGTGATCAATGTTGAACTTAATGAATTAGCGATTTAAGTAAGGTAAAATAACTAATTTCAGAAAAATAAACTGTTCGTAATTATAAGAATATGATTAACCTCCTAAATCGTTTCGTACAGACTCAGTAATTTCTAACAGGATTTTGATTGAGCGATATACTTGCAGTTTTTAACTTAAATAAGACAAGTACTTACTTAGTTTAAATATTTTTCCAATGCAGTTTACTACTTTGTAAAATTGTTAGGTCTTGTTGGAGACAAACTGACAAATATTTTCATTTGAAATAATGAATGTATTAAGCTTGTTAAGTGATGTTCTAAAATGTGTTCAAACTAAGCCTTGTCAGTAATAATTACTGTCAACTTCAATTTTATTTTATAGTATTTCAAAGAAAGCTTGTTCCACACAAAACTTGTAATGTATAAATTAGATTGGAATAAAGAAATTATTTAAGATAATTAATTAAAGTAGATCTCAGATCCTCTGCACTCCTAGCATAATTATGAATCCTAATACTCAATAATTTAGAAAAATATGCGAAAACATTATATCAGGTTTAGCTCAATTGTCAACCATAAGCTAACATTCACCAAACAACTTAACTTACTGTGTTTTTTCCAAGGAAATTTATTGATCTTAATTTTTCATTTAATTCTAGCTTTGAAATAAATTTCTGTATTTTATTATGTTTGTAGCCTATTCAATAATCCCAAAAACAAATGAACTTAACCAGATAACTAGGATCGATTAGATCATAGAAAGACGCATCCACCTAGAACATTAAACCATCAGCAAAATAGTTATTGCTTAAAAAAACCCGTTTATAGTTATATATAGCTGTATCTTACCTCAACCGATTTAAATAAAAATAAACTGTATAATAATTTTTCCAGCAAATATCGTATATCAAAAGGGGGTTTCGTGGAGATTTTAGTAATTTTATATAGTTGAAATCATGAGTCAACTGAAGCTAGACCACCATTGAAAATCTGGAAGCACTGGACGGCCAACTCGTCCTATTGTGGGACTCCTCAGCAGTGCGCATCCACGATCCCACGAATCCCGCCTCGCGGGACGAAGTGCCCATGCAGTGCTTCCAGGTTTTCCATGATGGTCTAGCTTCAATTGACTCATAACCTCAACTATATAAAATATCGTGTAGTTCATGCATATATGATTATCAATAAATTTAAATTATTAACTGAAATCAATATTTCATGGAATGTTATTCCTTTTTCTTCAAACATATCTGTACACTGACGCTTAATCAGAAAATAAATATCTTTCTGCTGAGTTCAGTAATTTAGTCTTTCACAAATTCATCATATTACAATAAATTTTGACTACTCAATCAGGTAAATTAATCAACATAAACCTTAAGGCGCTATAAACAGTGTTGCAGTCACTCATATAATTCAACAGATCCTCAAAATTGTTCAAAAAGTGTGATCTATGTTGTTAAAATGATAGCTATGTAGAAACGACTGTTTTTTATCAGAATATCATTAAAAAGTAGTCTTACATTAATATACAAAAAGTGGCTAAGTAGCTTAGTTATACAATGAGGATTTGATATGTCAAAGACTGGCCAATAAAAATAATTTTCACCTTAAAGTTTGATAGGAAACATTCGTAAACAAAATAATGGTTTATTACTTCAAAGAAAGAAATAGCACTTCACTAATACTGCTTAGAAAGAATGGATAACCTAAAAGTTAATTTGCATTATTCATTGGCTTTGACTTGATAACCACAAAGAACCAGTAAGAAGATATCTCTTCCTGGCATATGATTATTCAGAAGTGGACATCCACAATTTCCCCAGGGGTAGAAACTAGGTCCTTCAATACTCCCAGGGATTAGATATCTTAAGACACAGCTGACGTTTGACTTTTTAAATTTCTAACTTCATTCTAGACACTGAATTTTGTAACACTAACCACTACCGTAGTTAATAACTGTCTGTTTACAACAACCACTTTCTCTTACTTAAACCATAGAAATTCGTTTGAAAACCAACTACTAGTAAACAACTAATCAGTATTAAAATGTAAGTTTTGTAAAGATGGTTCAACCCTCGCCTCCTGTGATTATACAAAGTAGACCAATTCAAATACGCCTAGTTTGGATATTCAAGTATTTTTTTCGAGGATAATAATTTTCTGGTTCTTGTAAGCAAAGATGGATGGTGGCTAGCAGTGGAATCCAGGACGCGCGTTTTGTCCTATTTGGGACTCGTTAACTGGATGTACCTGCATCTCAGAGTTGATGTTCACTCGACTACTCGAACGCAGTAACTTTCGCTTCAAACGCCATCGCGTTATCTACTCGGCTACTGAGTCCTGATAGCCACTTGCTTGTGCAATGGGGTGAAGTTTAAATTCACTTAGTATTGTTTGTTTGAATCTTCCCATTGATGTTTAGGACTTAAACTGGTCAGTCTCAATACGCGCAGTATGCACATATGCCAATAAGAGACTGAGCAGTTGCAGTCCTAAACATCAATGGGAAGATTCAAACAGGTAATATTAAGTGAATTTAGTTTTCTGGTTCGTTTAATATCACAAACCATCAAACATTAACCACTAGTGTACACTATATCTTCTTACATTCCATTACTTCAAACGTTATAATTTCAAATATTGTTGCCTAAATTAACATTATGTTTATATTCTTTTCTTGAACATTCGTTTTATTCTCTTTCAAGTTTTCTGGGTTTTTTTAAAAAAAATAATATTTACTTATGATTTATTTTGTTTACTAGTTACAAAGAGTATTGTATATTGATCCAATCTATCATCGAAATCCAAAAACATGTTATTTACCAATCAGTCCAAATTCAAATGAAATGATGTGTAGAGATAAATTTTCATTATGCCGTTTACAAAAAAGAACTAATCGATGCAATTTTATAAATAATAAATCATATCGAATATGTGAAACATGGTCCACAAAACATAATTAATCAATTCTTTTTTCCCCATAAAAAATGTTTTGAAGAAATACTATTCATCTTTCAATAATACTCATATTCATCTAATTACTTTATAACCATTCAAACTACTAATAATACAAATAAGTATTATATTTTGTAAATAAATATGACCAAAACAACAACAAGGAAATGATCATAAAGAAATAGAAATTTATTAAATTTAAATTGCACAGATATCTTTATTTAATTTCATATATGATTTATATCTTCTCATAAATTTTTTATTATTATATATTTTTACATTCCATAGAATATAATCTGAATTTAAATTATTGAATAATACGTATCATTAACTTTCTTCAAATTGTATCCTTTTTTTCTTTTTATTTATTGTCCTCATTAACCTTAGCAACTAGATTTATTAATATAAGAAAATGTATAAAAGTAATTTGTTTCTACTATATGAATGTATGTATGCATGTATGATTTTGTTTTAAAAAACTGATTATATTCATTTCATTGTCCCTTAAAAAACTCTTTTTATTCGGCGTCTTTCTTGAATAATAATAATAATCTCTTTCTTTCATTTTTTTTTAGATTTTTAACGAAATTTCTGTACAGAATATCATTTTTTTGTAAAGATTTTCTCGACAGTTTATATTTGAGGTAATAAAAGAGAATGGTTATATGTAACATTACCTTTTTTACTTGTCTAGATTATGATGAAATATGATAACACTGAAAGAATCATTATAAATGTCAATGAATTAACTAACTTTTTTTTGGAATATTATTATACGTAAAAGGTACTTTGAGCAGAAATTTTCAATAAATCTTTTAAAATATACATTTTTATAGTAAACTCGTTGAATAGTTTAAAAGTACTAATAGGAGAATATTCGTAGGCTGCTAGTATTCGATTATAAGTGTCTTTGAAGCATTGCTCGTATATCCTGGGACCACCGAGTAAGTAATGCAGTTGTTAGGATACGGGTACTAGGTAAAGGTGGCAAATCGATTGATGAAGTAGTGAAACTTCATCAGTTGAGATGGCTGGGACATGTGTTACGTATGCCCAACGACCGACTGCCCCGACGTGCAATGCTTTATGGTGTAGGAGTAGGTTGGAAGAAAGATAGGGGCGGCCAGACCAAAACGTGGCACAGATTCATGAAGTCGCTGACAAGTGGACTGAACCATGTTGGTAGGTGTAGACTACCTGGTTGGGATCCGCGAGATGATAGCAATCGATGGTTAGAGACCTTGAATGACATGGCTCAAAATCGTTTGCAATGGCGAAGGTGCATCCACTCTTTGTGTTCTACCAAATTCTAATCTTCTGAATTCTTCATGTTCGTATCCTTTTTCTCTTTCCAAATCTATTTCACCGTATTATACTCCTTGAATAACATCTTCAATCCCTTATCCTTCGGATTACTGCTTGTACTCTTACTACTTCTACCAATATGGGATTTGAATCGACAACTTCATTTCTGTGTTATGTGGTATGACAACTCGAACTGATGCACGTACGTACAAGGTTCTACGTTGTGACTGAATGAATAGAAGGTAATATGTATAAATCATATTTTTGTCAGAATGTAATTTACATACTTTCTTAAATGGTTATTAAGATATGCACTTTATTGTCGGAATAAATCATTCTACATTTTCATGTTGGATGACAAAACATTATAATTATAAATAAATTAATATATTTGTAACATCCCAATAAGTAGAAAATTAGATTTTCTGACTTTTCGTGGATTAATGTTAATTTGGTCAAACATTCTCTGAAGAAGCCCCCAAATGCCCTGGTATGGCCGAGAGTGGGGAGAGTCCGCTCTCCCTCTCCAAATGCTCTCATATATATATATATATATATAGAATAAAAGATTATAGGGTTATGCAAATTTCATGAATAGACAACCTAAAATACACTTGGGAGAACTTCCTTCTTATTTTAAGTAAGTTAATCAAAGAAATGGGAAAGAGGCCTACTTAAGATTACTAAAATAACTGGACCTTGAATAACAGAAATATTCAACCATCATTCGGAACTAATTCACCTTCCCAAACTAATATTCTTTTTACAGAATCCCGCTATTATTATTACCTATTTCAACTTAACTATAGACTTACTGACTTAGTTACGCCTGTTACCCCTCGTGAAGGAGCATAGGCCGCACACCAGCATTTTCCATCATACCCTGTCCTGGGCAATCCTTTTCAGTTGTAATTCATCCTTTTCATATCCATATTTTGTGCAATAAAATGAATAGCTTAATGTAAATGCGATTTTTATTACTACACTGAATTCTACCTGTAATTCAAGCTTGAACGTATTATGAATTTCTATTTGTCGTAATGCATGTTATCACGGATATAATAGACGGATGTTCATTGATTGTCACATGTCTAGCTATAACCGAAAAGTTCATGATCAAGTTTTTATATTAATATGAAAGCGAGGTATTCCTAGAACATAGTTAACTACGTCTTTGATTATTCAGTAAGATTCATCATCCGATAATCACTTCAGCCCCACAGATTTTTAGAGTATCTCGCGTACGTTAGGAGTAATATTTTTGTTTATACTATTTATGCAAACAGATATAAGTAGCACGCAGCAGCAATCGGATGTGGAATACCTATCAGCAGAAGACTGAAATAAAGAGAACAGAAAAGAACTCAAAGAGCAATCAAATAATAACCGAACCAGTGGATTAGTGAAATATGTAAAGGACAACGCAAAGAAGCTGTGAAATGATGTATTCAATGTATGATTTTCATATTTTACTAAGCCACTGTGTGATTTTGCGTTGAACAATGAATCAGTTTCCCCCACTACAGTACTCATACTTTACAATATCTGTGTGACTAATTGAGACTTCTTCCGATTAAATTTAGAGGTCACAAGTAGGTTACTAAATCATGGTAACTTATTACCATGCTTTACTAGAATTTGTCAGATAATTATTAAACGTTTTCACTCAATAAAACCACAGTGACATTATTTTAAAATAACAATTGGTAAGTTGTATTATTAGTCAAAATTGATATCAAAACTAATAGAAGAATCAGTGAAACTTAAATTTATAGACATAGTATTTGATCTTGACGTCTTTCTCACATTTAATTTCATGAAGTCAACTGAATAGTTTTAATACTTCTCCAAGAAACTAATTTAACTTCAATTAGATCCTTATCAAGTTTTACGCTAACATACAAGAATATTTATATGCATATATGAAATTATTAAACCAATCAAGACAGTTTATGAGACAGTAGTAACGGTGGAATAGATTACAAAAATAAACAATAAGGTTTCTCATGTAATGTTTTTGCGAAAAACCAGCCAGTAACATATTTAGAATTTGAATACAATCATGTCAGTGTATAAATACTTGATGTTTACAACATCTGTAACATTTAGGATAGCTTAGAATAATCCACCACATTTTATACAAGTGTTTTAAACAAAATTCTTCAAGTTTTCGTTTTTTTTTCATTCTTCAAGTTCAATCAAACATTTAACTAACTATTAAAACATGTTACAATTCATTATTATTATTATGATGATCATAGAAACTGATGAACATGAAATATACCGTTTTCTTTCTATTCAATTTGTTCAATGATTACATGAATCAATCATTGAATTACACTTTGGATGAAAAAAACAAACCGTTTACTATCCAGACAATTATTCAAATGATTTAATCATTTTAAAGTGTTTATAAAACTTCATTTCTGTTTAACAATAATTATTATTACTATTGAATATAAGTGTTTCTATGATTCTTATTGTATGAATGTTAAAGTTCATTAACATAAAATCTAAGTGTTTAACAAGTTCATTTAATCTAGACATTTTAATTGGAATATTAAATACTGATTATTATTATTATTTTTTTTTCAAGAAAAAACATTTATTATTAAACTACTTAAGTAGTATCATCGGTTTCTGGTTAGCGTATTTTTAGCGAGTTAGTTTCCTACGGAATGGGGTCGGTAACCCCATGCCCAACTTTCCTCCTTTATCCAGGCTTAGGACTGGCAGTAGCCCCCCGGAGGAGATACAGGCGGAGTTAGTATCATCGGTACGACATATAATTTAATATGTATATTCACTTTCTTCTGTGGATGAATTTTAAAATATATTTTTTAGTTTGTGTTGTATTTGTTGATAGATTGTTTCTAACTATGTACATCCATAAACAATTTGGAAATTCGTTAATGTGTACATCAGTGTTTTTTTATATTGATAGGGTAAACTTAATTTCAGAATTATTGAATGGAAAATGTTTTTTTTAAACTGAAGCAAGCACTTTATGTACTCATGTAGCTATAATGATACTTAGAAATGAACTTTTGTTGTTGTAGTTTATCTTCATAATGTTCGTACGTCCCTCTTTTTGAATACGTAAGAAAGTAGATCCCATAAATGCGACTGTTAACTTAGATAATTTAAACAAAATAAGCGACATTGATCATTATATTCACTGTATTTTTAAAATAAGTAATGCTGTTATCACAGTGAAATTCGTTGTGATGCTTATGGTTTTGATAAGAGATTCTAATTAAAGAAGAAAGTGAATAATTGGTGGTGAAATGAAAAAAAACAACTGAAAAACTATTAGTAATTGTAACATTTGTAAAGTGTTTAATTGTGATAGACATTTACAGAACTAGAAACAGTAAAAAAGAAACTTATATATATGTATATATGATGTAGTTCTGTAATAATTTCCATTAGCTACATTTCATGTGATACAAATAAATATGATTGTTCGGCTAAATATAGCTACTATTAATTGTTAAATAGTGGGATGTTTTTTTATAGACACAATATGATACCATAAACAACTACATGCATCTGAATGTATAGATAATTTCTAGTACATTTTCGATAATCTAAATTCTGTACACAAAGATAGCCACAGCCCAATTTTATGTAGATCAATTTAAGTGATATACCAATGTACACAAACTATGCCGTTATTTATGAGGCATACAAGGATTTATATAAATATACCTATCAATATGCATTTATATAATATAGAATTTCAATAAATATCAGGGTAAATTTTGTTACCTTCTGTTATTCTTCCGCTAATAAAGTTTGAATTATCTGAGAATTTTGCATTCACTACTGGAAAAGGTTTTCATTTCCAGACATTTTAAGTAATAAAGTTTTCCACGATAATTAAACCAATCTCTGAAGTAATTAATGCTCAATTTTTATCTGATGGTGGTCAGTTAGAACTACAAAGTGGAATACGCTATTGACTGCTGTAAATTCAGACAATTTGACCAGATGTCAGTTTCTTCAAAGTCGAAGACACGTTTTACCGATAAATACCAACACAGACGATAATCAGATTAATATCTTCCTGCCGATGATTTGCAGCTGACATGTAAATCTTAAAACAAATCCATCACGGGTTATTATGTCAAGGTTTTGCTTTCCAGTTTATGGTTTATGATTAGAATAATTCTCTTTCCTAATTGAATACGAAGTGAACCGCTTGTCAGAAACTGTTAGCCACCCGTTTCTAATTAGATTTTGAAACTGTGACATGAATGATAGAAATTCTACTCTCAAGGAAAATGAGTTCATTTCTTCAAAATAACTCCAATTACTTGTTGCCAATCTAACAATAGAGGACTGAATGATAATTTTAAGCTATAAAGTTAATAATTTAGGAATGAAGATGAATAATATCATAACGGTTAAATACTAGTTATGCAATCACCAAATAAATATATCAATCTAGTTAGAAACATTAATGTAATTAAACATGCCATTTAGCATAATGAGATTATAACAGTAGTGGTAGCAACAAAACCTAAAGAATAGCTTGTTGGGTTATTTTCCTTTTTAATGCCTCTCAATTATATAACCGTTTTTGTATAAATTTATAATTTTGATATTAAGTATTTATTATATCCAATAATCACTAGCTGACCTACATTCCATATCGTATTAGTTTTTTTCTTTAAATATACATTACCAAATTTATGAGATCAACAATTGGCCTTATTTCATTCGGACTGCTTTTGCTTTTTTATATC